TTGAGAACTGCCAGTTGAATTGCTGAATGGTGCAGAAATTATTTTTCTCAAACCTATTTTAACAATGGAAGTAGTAACTACATCTCCATTTACTTTAGGTATTTTACAACTTTCAATAGAGCCTTTTATCTTAACTCTTGAAGCATTTACTTCTTCTTTAAAAAATACATGAAGTGGATTCCATTGATCGAGGATTCTAGATAAGCACTTCTTTAAAGACAGCCAGCATGTACACACATTTCAAAATTTTTCTCAATTCAGTATTATGCAGCTGTTGGAACCGTTTCAATTTTCCCTTCCTTTTAGAACTCCTTTCAACATAATAATAAATATCAAAAATGTGTTCATCCACATTTATGGGTAAAGAAGCTGCCCCTTTTTCAGCTGCTAAATTTAAGAGGTGATAGGTGCACCTCCTAATCTGCAAATCTGAATTTTCCTTTCTTATGATGCCTGCAACACCAGTCTTCAAGCCTACCATTATTGGTGCATTATCGACACCAAGTGATAAGCAATTATCCAGAGGGACTGCATTTTCTTTTAAAGTTTTAATAATTAGCTGTGCTATATTAAAGGCTGTCGAATGTCCTTCTAAGTGGGGACAGAAAGTAAACTGATTCTGAAGACTCTGGATTCAATTTCTGAAGACTCTGGATTAAAAAAAGAAACACAATTGGATACAGTTTTGAATCTGTATTATTGCTTCCACCCGTAGAGAGGCAGAACAGAGCTGTTTTCATGCAATCAATAACTGAAGATTTATTTTTCAAACCCATTTCTTTAACATTTGCACGTTTTAGTCCTTGCACTTGAGTATTTCTTAGCAATTTCACTATCAGGAACATTCTTCTAAATAGAATGCAGAAAATTTTCTAAATGCAGTGTGATCCGATGCATTCAGTGGCAGGTTGTGCTCCAGTAAAAAGGCAGAGAAGAGACATTCTGCATTAATAACTTTTCGGTCCTTTGTTTCTGAAGAAAAATTCAGTTTTCTGAAAATTTTTTTTTTTTTCAAAACAACTCATGTTGTCCTTGTGTTTTTGTGTACGCACATGTTTGAGAACATCCACTTTTCCACCATGCGAAATCGAAAAATCGCAAGGACAGACGGTACACATCGCAAATTTATTACATTTCCTTGAGGAAATAATGGACTATATAAGTCAACTGTGTACGACTTTTGAAACGTACACGAGTATTTCACCTTTCTCGCAGACATAGCAAAAGGTGATAATTTCTAAAACTATTTCTTGAAGGCACGTGTACTCGCACAACTCAGGACAAGATAAAAGAAGTAACTAAAGAACATACAAATAACAGCCTTGAGCTTGCTTTGTGCTCATTGGCTAATATATGGCAGATGACACGCAGTGGAGCTCGATGTCCATTGGAGAACTGGGGAACGATGTTTCTGGATTTGTATGCTCTTACTCACAAAACAGAAATTCTCATCTGATTCACAAAGTTTTGTTTTAGATATAATCTAGAGAAAAAGATAATATTATTAAAGTAATATTTTTACTGTAAAATTGCTTTCAGACGTCCAAAATCACTTTTTTTTTTTGTTCATATAACGAAGTATTAAGCCAAGTTCCATAAAAATCGTGAGAAATTTTAAGAATAAGCTTTCACTTACAAATGAAAGTACTCGAAACTTGCTAAGAATAAACACACGCAAGAGATTATATAAGTGTAAGTGATTAATGTTCAAGCTAAATTCAGTACCAGCAATTTGGCAACATTAAATTGGCAGACTATATTCTAAGGAATGGATGGGTGTAAAGTCTTCATGGAAAATACATGTGTAACAGGGTCTGATGATGATGCACATTTAAATACTTTAAAAGAGTTCTTCCAAAAATGTAAAATTCACAGACTAAAATTAAATTTGGAGAAAAGTAACCAGATACTAATTTTAGGTCACAAAATTGATGCTAATGGTTTACATAAAACCGATGAAAAAATATCAGTGCAATCCAGCAAAGTCAATTTCTTGGAATTGGTTAATTTTTATGGCTAATTTTAAAATAAAAAGATCATTGGGCTTTGGTTGGGAAGTGTTCTCATAAGCTGCGTTCAGACGGCGGCATAAAGAGCATAAGGACATAACTAGCAGACATGCATATTAAAGCACCAAAAAGAGTTTAATTCAACATATGCTGCCATTTCTATTTACGACCAATAGCTCAAAAGTAGTTTCACCTTGATAAATTTTAGATACCCAAGTCTTCAAATAAAATAAAATTATAAACATTCATACCTTTATCTAGGAATTTCTACCAGAGAAATAGCATGAATTTAATGATCAAAATTCCATTCAAATGATAGTAATAAAGAGTGCATAATAATAATAAATACTATTCATTAAATTATAGTCCATTTACGAATTATGTGTGCTATTCAGTTTCATTAAAAGAAAATTCCTTTCATGGAAGAACATAATTAAAAAACAGAACAGAACATCAACAAGAGACAAAACTGTCTAAACTGTTGACTATTGTTTTAAGGATATTTCACTATATTTTTTCCTTCTTGGAATTCATACGAGCATTTTCTCAAAAGATTAATCTTTTATTACTTATAGAAAGCTTACACCATTTAATTGACTACTGTGACTATTCTTAAATAAGTGAAAATATTTTTTCCCCTTTTTTTTTAAAGTAATATTTTTAGTGTAAAAAAAAAAAAAAAAACAGCAGATTCTTGATATTAGTTTGATGTTTTAGTAAAATTAATTCATGAAGTTTGTTTGGAAAGAAATCAGCATTTGAAGCAAATAGCAATACAATATTTCCAGCTTTTTCAATACATTTATTCTTAATCACAAAAATAATTAAACAGGAAGAAAATGATAGTAATAATTTATACAAAAATAATAAACAGAAAAAAAGTAATAATAATTTACACAGAAAAAATAAAATTTTTGCAAGCATGCATTTTTTAAAGAATTTTCATAATAAAATGAAAAATAATGGATGGGATCAATCATCTACAGGATCATACACAGTGTGCATGATCCTGAGCTTAACTTTCGCTTTACGAGTTTCATCCTTATTTTTCAATTTATTGTGAATACTAATTAAAAAAAGGCATGCCATCATCAGATTTCTTACGAGATCAACTCCTTATTTCGTTCGGATACGATTACAACTCATTCAGATACGATGTGCTCCATATTAAAAAAATTGTCGCCTTCCATGTGACAGCGAAATCGTCTAAGAAAGCCGCTTCATTTTAACTTCGCTGTGATTGGTCGATGCTTATCACAAATTCGGCATAAAGTTGAAAACTTGGAATCTTGTGACACGAGCCTTAAACCAGATTACGTGACTTAGCACAGACTGGTTGCCTTGGCAACGCAGCTCCGCTTTAACCACTTATGCCCATTACGCCTCGTCTGAACACAGCCATACATGATTTTCTCAGAGCTTACAACTACAAACTCTTTTATAATTCCAGAACATCTCAACTTTAAATTTTCACTGAAATGTGAATGTAATTGCATTATTATACTTTCTTGTTTCTAAAACAAAGGAATTTCTTTTAATATGGGATAAACCACATAACAGACAGGAAAACGTATAACGACAAAAACTACATGAAACCATAGCTATTTTGTGTTACCATTTTTCTTTTTTAACCGAAAATGGATAGAACTTTTGCACATAATTAATGTATTTCTTTAAAATTAAGTAATTCTTGAATATATTCAATATACATGTTTGAATTTTAAAAAAAAAAAAAGTTTCCACATCCATGTTTAAATTTCCTTTTATTTATCCTGCCCTTTTTTTAGTCAGCATCTAATGATTTTTCATTAATAAAACTTTAAAATCTGTACCTAAGGTCCCAAGCTATGCTGATTTTTAACCTTTACGCTGATTTTTTGCAGCAACTTTTGCAGTAACTTGCTTTTCTCCCTTTTGTGCATTTTACTACTACCCATTAATAGCACTTAAGTAGCAAATTTTTTAATTACTACTAATTACAAGAAAAATTATAAAATATCTGCACAGCCAAGCAATACTGAAACATTCCACTCAAATTCCACTAATTTGTTGAAGTGTCTGACCTTGGATTGTGGGATGGGTTTCATAAATATCTGGTCAATGCTGCTGTGATGTAACTGGCTGTCTGCACATAAGACAGACCTTAGCTAATCATGTTTCACAGATACAGTACCCTTATTTGTATTGCGTCATCTACAATTAGTACATCTTACAGTTGGCACACGTTTTTAAGTTGTTACTGAAGATTCTCCACAAGCTGCTGATATTCAATGGCAATTTACTACTAATGGGACCAGAATTTGGGTTCCTTTGGTTCATAGGCTGGCACATTACTGATTGATTAAACAATGTCTGATCTAATCAAGTAGGAATATTACACATTGAGCACTATGTCAGAGCACTTTTAACACTAGATACCTATTTTTAAGCACTAAAACTTAAAGAAGGTGAAAATTGAAGGAAAATACAAAATGCGAATGTGTCGGCTACATTCCAAACCTGCCAATTAAATGCCTTGCTATGTGAAGCAGTCGCAGGAAACCAATTATTCAAAGGCCTATACCAGAGGTTCTCAAACTTTTTTGCCCCATGCACCCCTTTCACTATTGCTAGATAATCCTTCCTCCCTCACTTCCAAAACTTAAAAATAAATGTATACACTTTTCTAGATTTCATTGAAGTTTTATTAACTAAATAATAAAGAATAGAAATGTTAATATACAGCAAAATTTGAATAAAAGTAGTTTTTTATATTCATAAACTAAAACTAAATACTTAACAGCTAAATAAAAAGCTGCCCACATTCCCCCCTTAAACTATGAACCCCCCAGGGAGGATTTGTCTCCTCTTTCTTCATCGAGATACCTTTGCCTGTATTGTTGTTAGTCCCATAATAACCAGAATAAACTATCTATCATAATAGTGAACAAAGGAAAATGCAAGTTAAAAAAGTATATATATAAAACCAAAAACTTTAAAGTAAGTACTCACCAGTTTTAGGCAGCTCCTTACGACCTATTAAGTCCCAGTTTGTACCACCACAAAAGAGAAGTGTACCTGCTGTCTTAGATCCCTCCAACCGCTTTAAAAAAAAAAAAAAAAAAAAAAAAAAAAAAAAAAAAAAACATAGTAAGAATCAAATTCTTTTGTGAAGTAGATTTAATTACTTCAAACATTTATTAAATTTCATCTCAAGATAATAGCATTTCATAATTACTATGTCAGTTACTCTCAACTAACTATACAAACAAAGAAATGCTAAAGAAAACTGGGAAATTTTTATTAAAAATTATACATTTTTAGTTTTTTCTAAAAGATTTGGAGACACTTGTTAAATACATTGAGAGCAAAAATTATTCATGTTATTTTCAGTTGAGGTCTTAAAACATATAAGAATCCTTTCTTTTCTTCTATTCTAAGTAACTGTCTTTATGTCTTTATGAGGATGAGAACCTTTGGAAACACTCATCTGGATGAACAGCAAATAGCACCAATCAGAAAAGAAATAAAAACTATTCAAAACAACATGAAATGAGTTTACTAAAAAAATTAAGGTTTATGTAGGTCCATATTTCAACATGGAATTTCTTTCAGTCTTCAAAGGCTCTCTCACTGCAAGATCATTTAATTACATTACTATGATGCAAATTACATAAAATCCATATATTGCAGCATCACATATGACTGTCATAAATTCAGTTCATGCATATTAAAAGTTTTGTTGAATGCAATCAATAAAGTCATTATTTTTTTTATGAAAACTGGGTAATCCAATTTAATACTCTGTCTGCAGAAAAACTTAGTCTCTATTTTTATTGCCATTCCGGGAACTACTATGCAATTTCAAGACATGAATGTATTATATTTGCACTTACTTGGTAATTTGCATATGAACTAAGTGATAAATAATGTTATATTAGAAAAGGCAAAGAGAAAAAAATTTGTGAGATGTGGTCACATTTAGCTGATTGTTTACATTTACACAGTGTTAAGTGTAATGCTTGGAGTTGTAAAAAGATGAAAAATTTTGCTTTTCTGGCATGTTTATTCACAAAGGTTAACCAACTGTTAACTAAAAATAATAATAATAAATGAAAAATAAAAAAAACCAATAATTCTTATTCCAAAACATTGAAAAACATAAAAATGTTTAATTACTTATTTTTCGTTTTGAAAAGCAATTTAAAAGGAAATTCTGAGTTATAAAAGACTTTTATTTTGGAACATAGGTAAGATGTTATTTTTATACATTTTAAATTGTTTATTTTAAGATTCTAGTAATAAAATGGATAGGATGAAGCCCAGTTATTATTATCATCCAAATTTATGATTTGCATTCCACAAACTGTTTTGATGTTAGTTTTAAGATATGAGATGGATGAGCTTTAAAACACGAGTTGCCTGCTCTAGTTATTAAGCTGCTGGCTAATCAAAGTGCAACAGCACGAAACTTGCATTATGCGTATATCGCGAAGGGATATGCAAACGATTATGATTTCAGCATACACATTTATCACGAGCGACTGCAGCACTCCTTACAATACATATAATAAAGCGAGGTAAGACTGCCATTTTAAATACCATGAACTGTTGTTTCATGAGATTTCTTCATGTGTAGCTTTAGTATGTACTGCAGAAAAAGAGGAGCAACATCCAAGTATGCTTCCGAGTTTGACCGAGGCAGAATAATTACAAATAGAGATTGCGAATTATCCTTCCGGAAAATTGGTTATCTTATCAGATATAGGCAAGCAATAGACGTGAATGTTGAATTAGTGGATGCAAAAGGGAATGACTGGTGGACAGGAGCAATTGCAACAGCCTTGTTGCACCACTCCACGGGAAAACAAGACATATTGTACGCGTGGCACTGTACACTATATAGGCAACCACAGCACAATGAATGCAGTCTGCAACACAACAATCAGTGCCTGCACGAACAATTCAATGTCATTTCCAGTACAACGGACTGTCTGCTAAGCATGTATTTCTTCACTTACCTTTAACCCATTAGCCACTGGTGTTGCGTTGACGCAACGGTCAAAATAAATGCATATATAAATATAACTACCTAAGATATTTTATACCAGCAGATGATTTTGTGTAGGGAATATTATGAAGATTATTTCTGTAAAAAAAATTTGCCTTCAGCAATCATTTTGTTTATAATAATTAATCTCATACTTTAAGCAAAATTTTCGACTGAGTATTTTTGCTGAAAATATTTAACGAAAGAATCGCCGTCTTTATGAGTGATCTATTTTTAGTCAAGGTCACCGTTTATCAGAACATTACACCAGTCAGATGTTTATATTTGTGCTGGCAAGAAAGGAAAAACAGGTGTTGCGTTGACGCAACGTCAGCAGGAAACGGGTAATCAATCTCCTTTTTCACTCATTCCTTTCAATGTTCTGGTTGTTTAAAAATGCCTAGAACGAGGTATCTTACATTAGAAGAAGCCCTTCAAAGATTTTTTGATGAAGAAACAGATGATAATGTTAATAATGACCAGAATGAAACTGATGCTGTTGTTGTTCCCCAGAAATTGCAGAATCTAGTGACGAAGAAGAAAGGAATGGCAATGTTTTAAATAATGATAATGATATTTTACCAAATGATACTGCTGGGGAAGTTGAATTTCACGTAAAAAGTAGGTTTCAGCCTTCTAAAAGCAGTTATAGTAAAAAGTTTAAAAAGCAGAAGACTGAAATCTTGAAGTGGATAAAAAAGGAACTGTTAGTTATGTCTCAGGAAGAACATGAAGAAAGAGATAGAAGAGAAATTATAAAAGACAAAATACAAGGTAAAACTAGTGCACAGATTTTCGATTTTCATTTTGGTTTAGACATTTACTCTCTTCTCGTTGAACAGATAAATACATACGCTCAGCGAAAAAAAAAAAAGCGCCCAGAATTTATTGCGTCTGAAGCCTATGAGAAGATTTATTGGAATATTATTGCTTACAGGATATCATTCTTTATCTCAAGAAAAAATGTATTGGTCTTTTGATAAAGACATTTCTATTCCTGTTGTACGAGAATCAATATCACGTTTGCAGTACAGGATTATAAAGCAGAATTTGCATTTGACAATAGTCAAATTGACAATACTGATAAATTATATGAGGTGAGACTGTATCTAAACTTACTAAATATCACCAACTTTTTACTACTGGTGGGAATATAAAGTCTCTTTTAGATTTCAGACGCGAGAATGCATTATTCCTTTTGCAAACTCCTATTGAAAGTGTAGAATCAGCCACAAATAGATCAGCAACAGGAAGACCTAGTAAATTCAGCATTCAAAAACCATTGCATGGAGATGGTACACATTTTATCGTAAAGTCCGTTGATAACAAAAGACTTTGTTGTAAAGAGTACCATAGCCAGACTGTTTATAGATGCAAAGTATGTAATGTAGCTTTACATCATGATTGCAATCAAGCTTTTCATGCTTGACTCTCAATTGAAATAATCTGTATTTGTAAAAGAAATACAATGTATATTTTAATATTAAATTAATTACAAGTAAAGTGATTTGTAGATTTATAGATCGTTATACAGCTAAAACGTAATCTTGTGCTCCACTCAGAAGAAACATCACACGAGTACAATCCTACTCACTCAACATCCATAGTCTTATTCCGCTGACATTACGCGAATGCAACACTCGCGTTTTCAACAGGTAAGGGCATTTTTTTAATTTTCAATGTAAATTTATGTTATAAATGCTTAATTTAATATTTTTTATTATTTTCATGAGAAAAGAAACATTCCTTGTAGTTTTGGCGGTTAATGGGTTAAACCATGGGCATTTGCAATAATGCACTGAAAGGCAGAGATGGATATCCGAATGGCATGACACTTGTGTTTTCGGATGAGTCATGCTTCTGCACGCAGTACCTCAATGGTCATATTAGAGAATGGACACACTTGTGGAGATAAGCTGCTTGACTGTTGTGTTATGCATAATCGTAGTGGTCCTGCAACCGGTATTATGGTGTGGGGTGGTACTGGATTCCACTCCCACACATCTGTAGTATGCATTATCGATGCACTTAGCTCATGCTATATTTCTGAGGTTTCGCAACCTATTCTCCTTTCCTACATTCAAGACTTACCTGCAGCCACATTTCAAAAGGACAATGTGTGACGACATATTGCATGCAGTGTTCAAGCTTTCTTCGTAGCATTGTTACCCTCACCCAATGAAGATATTCGGTCAATAACGCCTAGGAGTGTTAAGGCAGCATGAGCTGCCATTCTCCAGCAACATATCCAAAGACTTTCACTCAGTGCTGCAGCACGTAGAAGCGGTTATTGACAAACCTGGAGTCCTGATTTTCTCCTCTTCCTCACCTCAAGGAAGGCTGTATTTCAAATCAATTAACACCGATACTATGTGTAATGTACAAAATAAATTTGGCTTTGATATCTTTTACCTTTCATGTTGCATTTTGTATGGCCATAGGTGGATATTAACAGGGACATCAGCATTCGAGTGGTTCTCAATCTTTTGACTAATGTGTATCATCTAAATAAAAATTGCAAATCTTTAGTATCACCATTACATTTTACAATGATTATTTTTAGATTTCTTAATAGAAATATTAAATAAATATATATATATACACTGCTCGACATTGAAAATGCAACACCAAGAACGAGTGGTCAGAAATTTATGCAAATTTTAGAGTAGATGCACATCACTGAGTTATGTGAATGATGCGAAATGTGCAGCTCCACGACGCACGTGAAGTAAGATATAAGGGAAGGGACATGCAAAATGGGCAATATTTATGTCGTTATTTCTGCCAGACAAATTATCGAAGAAAGTTGGTTTTTGCTCCAGAGAATACGTGCAATAGGAGAGAATGCCAGGCCATCATCAATGAAGGCACTTCCAGCAGATAGACGATTTTACAAGGGGTATGTATGCCGATCGAATTGAGAAGGGCGGGTTGGTCCTTACGTCAAATCGCAGCTGATACCCACATGGATGCGAGCGCGGTGCATCGGCTATAGCGAACATGGTTGGAAAAAGGAAATTGCGTCAGCACACTTGGATCGATGCATCCACCAA